TGCCTGTGTGCCAGGCCCTGTGCCTGACATGCTGGGGTTTGGAGATGCTCCAGACCCTGCCCTGCCCTCTAGGGCTCCCAGTCTGGTGGGAAGGCAGCCCCGGACGCAGATGACGAGGAAGTGGTTATTGGTGGTGCCAGGGGCTTTGGCAGCCTCTGTCCTGGTTATGTGAGGCAGCAGAAGGAGGGATGGAATGAGACTGGGTGTTGGGAGTTCCCCTCAGGGGCCCCGTGGGTGGACTAGAAACAGGGAGAGCCTGGAGGGCAGGGGACCAAGGAGGAATTCCCTGGAGGCAGTTTCAGGGAGAGTGGATAGAAAATGTGGGGGAAGGATTACAAAACAGAGGAGCACGGAGTGTAGGGAAGCTAAATGGAGAGACAGGGCAGGGAGAGGCAGAGTGAGAAGAGACAAGTTGGGTAGGAGCGGGGATTCTTTGGTGGAGGAGGGGGTGGAACTGGTTGGGGGAAGTGGATTCTAGAGTCCAAAGGCTCCGTATAGAGCAAGAAAGAGGGGGGGGTGGGGAGGAGTGGAGAGATGGGGGAGGGGGGAATGAAGACACTGAGGGTGACCCAGAGGGGACAGGAAGGGGGGCAGAGTGCACAGGTCGGAGGAGGGACGTCTCAGAGACACACAAAATTACCCAGAGACGGAGAGGTGGAACCACAGAGAAAGATCCAGAGATCTGCCCAGAAGCAAGCGTGGGGACTCGAAAGCAAGCACAGCAGACAGGATAGGAATGACCCACTTCTTTTGTGTTCAGGATTAGTATGCAAGAAGCATCGAGTGCCAACCTGTTCTGGACCCAGGCTAGGCCCAAGGACTGTGGTGGGCGGACGGTCAAGGTCCTGCTGTCCTGGATCCCCAGGAGAGACTAACGATAAACATTGCAGTTCCTGAGAAGTGCTTTAACCCTAAGCAGGACGTGATGACAGCGACGGTGATGGGACACAGGTGACTTCAGACCAGGTGCCCTGAGGAGACCTCACTGCAGTGTCGACATCTGAACAGATACGGGACTTGTCACGAGGAGAGGGGACAGAACAAGCATTCAGGCCACCCCAGGCAGCCCAGAAGCTCCGGGAGTCACAGGTTTGGGAGGAGGCCCCACGGCAGGCAGATTAACAGGGGTGAGCAACGTCGGGGCAAGGTCAGAGCGTAGGCTGGGTGCCCATCCTGTACTCCTGGGAAGAAATTTGCATTTTTCTAGACTTCATGTGAGACCATTGTGGAGGGTTTTGAGCACAGGCATGACATATTTTTTATTTTCGACAACAACAAAATAACAGAACTGCATGGTTGTGCTGAGACTAGATTAGGAGTGAAGAGTGGAGGCGAAGAGCTAGGGGCTGCTGTCCTTGTCTGGTCGAGACTGACAGTGGCCTGGACCAGAGTGGAGTCAGTGAGGTTGGAGAGAAATGGAGGACTGGGCCTGGGAGTTCAGAGGCAGAGCCTACAGCGGCGGTGAGCGGAGCGGAGGTAGCAGGACGCAGGGCGAGAAGCCAGAGGGACACGGAGGAACTCTTAATCGGGCTTGTGCAGCACCGAGCGGCAGTGTGTTGCCTGGAAGGGGCTCCCAGAACAAGGAATTGGGATTTGGGTGGGAGGGACCAAGCGTCCTCCTTCAGACATGTCAAGTTGGAGATGCCTGCCAGAAACCCAAGTCAGGGTATCCAGTAACCCGTTGGATATGTGAGCTTCGGAGAGAAGCCGTGGCTGGAAATATAAGTTTTTGGAAACGTCAGCATATAGGAGACATTGAAAGTCACGGGGCTGGACGGGGTGACCCAGAGGGAGAGTGCCGACAGAGAAGTGACCTTGGCTAGAGCCTCAGGGGCATCTGTGTCACGGGAGAAGAGGATGTAGCAAAGGGAGCCACAGGGGGTGACCCCAGGGTAGGCAGAGGCCAGGAGGAAGTGGCCAGCAGGGCTGAGAACTGCAGAGAGAGCCCAAGAGCCAGAGGACAGGGGTCATTTCAGTGCAAGGGTAGAGACCAGAGCCCTGCTGGTGTGGAAGGAGAAAGAAAAGGGGCAAGCCGTCTTTTTAGCATGAAAATAACGAGAGCTTTCATACCAAAGAAAGTCCATACTCTTTCTGGGAAAAGAGAGCAAGGGGAGGGAAGACAGAACCACGCACTCTGAAGTAACTTAGCACAGGTGAGATGCAGAACGGTGGGCGACCCGGGCCAGGAGGGGAACATGGAGTCAGGGGACAGGCAGAGTGCTGCAGGGGGGCTGTGTCTGCTCAGAATGCTCTGGTTCCCCGATGGGTCCTGTCAGGGCTGGGGAAGGAGAGAACAGGCGTCACTCATTTAAGAAGGAGTCCCAGGCCTTCCGGGAGCCTGGCTGCACAGTCTCACAGCTGCTGGTAGCGAGGCCAGTTAGAACGCAGAGGGAGTCGCGCCCTGATGGGGGCACCTTCCCCTTGCTTGGGAGGACATGTCTGTGTGTCACATCTCACTTCATCCATCCGTCCATCCTTTTAAGTCACCTGATGCCCATCTCCCAAGGCCTCCTGTGTGCCCAGTCCTGGCCTGGGCAGTGTTGAGGACAAAGATGAGTTCCTCCTGTACCCCGGCCCTGCCGCAGGCTGGTGGGACAGCTGGACACACACAGTCACATTCCAGAGCAACTCGCGCTCCAAGGCAAGCCAAGCTGCCCAGGGCGCTGTGCGCGTCCGCAGCAGGGTGGACAGACAGGGCCAGGGTGCTCCAGAGCAGCCAACCACGGACAAGGAGGTGGTGCAAGGTGGGTCCCACCTGGCCCGTCTGCACAGGGCTGAGGGAGGGGGTGAAGGGGTGAAGATCAGGCCCTGCTGCCATTCCACATGGCCGTTCCGTCCCTGCCTCCCGGGGAGCTGAAACTGCATGGAAGGTCCCCTGGGGGCGCCCGTCTAATAAACTCGATGACGAGGACTGTGGCTCTGGTTCCAGTACCCCTGACACCCAGCCTCTCCCTGAGGCCTGCCCCACCGCCCCTGGGGAGCTGAAGACGCCAGCACCAGACGAGCGCTTGCATCTGCCAAGACCCAGGGGTCTGGGCTCAGTCTTCTGTCCCGGGGGTTCAGGCTCCCAGCCCCCTCCTCCCTCAGACACAGGGGTTCAGGCCCCCAGCCCCCTCCTCCCTCAGACCCAGGGGTTCAGCCTCCCAGCTCCTCCTCCCTCAGACCCAGGAGTCCTGGCCCCACCCCCTCCTCCCTCAGACCCAGGAGTCCACGCCCCCAGCCCCTCCTCCCTCAGACCCAGGGGTTCAGGCTCCCAGCCCCCTCCTCCCTCAGACCCAGGGGTCCAGGCCCCCAGCCCCCTCCTCCCTCAGACCCAGGGGTCCAGGCCCCCAGCCCCCTCCTCCCTCAGACTCAGGAGCCCAGGCCCCCAGCCTCCTCCCTCAGACCCAGGAGTCCTGAACCCCAGCGCGCCTCCTCCCTCAGACCAAGGAGTCAGGGCCCCCAGTCCCTCCTCCCTCAGACCTAGCAATTCAGGCTCCCAGCCAGGCCTGCTCCGGACCAAAAATCCAGGTGCCCTAACCCCCGGTTCTGCCACCATGGAGATGGGACCCTCGGCTCAGGCGCTTGCCCCTTAAGGAAATGAAAGCCCCCTCAGGCTCCGGCCGGGTCAGGACCCCGCCCCCAGGCCCTCCTCCCGGGGCAGCCTCCCTACCCGCCCCCCCCCCGCCGCGTCCCCTTAAAATACCCGGGGTTCCTATGGCAACAGGCGCTGGGCGACAGGTGCGGGTGTTATTTACGGGTCGAGCCTGAAATAGCCTGGGAGGGCGCGGGGGTAGGCGGGTGGGGCGAGGCCGGAGTGAGCGGAGCGGCGCGTCCGGGCCGAGCGGGCGGCGGCGTGCAGGACCCGACGGCTCGCAGGCGTCGCGGAGCTGGGGCCGGCGCGGCGCGGAGGCAGGAGAGCGAGAGGGGGCCCTGCCCGGGAGACCAGGGTGGGAGGCCTGCGGGAGGCAGCTGGCCTGGAGCTGAGCCTGGAGCGGTCCCGGCCCGGCAGGCCCTGGGAGCCCGGGGGAAGGGGAGCCAAGTGATCCCAAAGGGACGCAGAGTCCCTCCCGGGTCCCAGTTGTCCTTTGAATCCTGGGGGATTTCGTCCCTGTTTCCTGAGCCTCACTGGGGACCACAGAACCTCCCTCTGACCCCGATAGGGACCCCAGGTCCCCCTCCTGAGCCTGGAGGCGTCCCCTAGCCCCCTTCTCTGGACCCACTGTGTCTCTGAGCCACTAGTCCCCTCTCTCAGACCCAGGGAGACTTTCTCTGATCTCTCTGAATGGCCAGGGAGACACCCACCCCCTTTTCCTGAAGCCAAGCCAGGACTCCACTGTCCCCTCTGTGAAGGTTGGGGGTCCTACAGCCTTTCTGAGACCCAGGAGTTCTGATCTCTTCTGAACCCCAGAGGGGACCCAACTTCTCTCTCCCCAGGCTCTGAGCCCAAAAGGAACCAGGAGGCATCTCCTCTCAGACACTCAGAGGACCTCAGCAACCCTCCCTGGGTACCCCAAGCTCTGAGCCTTAGTGGGGTGCTCAGATCCTGTCCCCCCAGGACACCCAGTTTCCCTCTGGTGATTCCCCCCAGTGGGGACCCAGAGCAGCCCCTCAGAGCCTCAGCCAGTGCTCAGTTCTCCTTCCTCTGGAGCCCTGAGGTCTCCCTCCTAGAGACCCAGCTTCTAGCTCTGGGCCTTGGGGGTCCCTTGCTTTTCTTCTGCGTCCCACCTTCCTTGCAGAGTTTTTGCGGCCTCCCCAGGCCCTCCTCGGAATTTAGAGGGTTTCCGGGGCCGGAGGCTCTATTTTTTTTCTCTTTTAAGCTCCAGAGGCGACCTCGACTCCCCCACTGGAGGTTCCAGGGAAGATTCCCATCTTCCTTTCTCAGAATCCAGTGCAAACTGAGCCCCTCACCTCCTTCAGGACCCCAGGAGCTCCCCTCCCCCGCCCACCCTCAGAACCCCGCCCCAGCTCTGCGTCCTTTGCACCTGTTCTGAGCCCCCTCGGCTGCGGCCTCTAGGATGATGATGTGGTCCAACTTTTTCATGCAAGAGGAGGACCGGCGGCGGGAGGCTGCGGGCCGGCGGCGGGCTCAGGGGCAGCACCAGCTGACGCCGGAGCTGGAGGGGAAGATCAAGCTGGGGCTCCTGCTGAGCGCCGTGGGCTCCACGCTCGCTGTGCTGGCGGTGGGCACCGAGTTCTGGGTAGAGCTCAACACCTACAAGACCAATGGCAGCGCTATCTGCGATGCTGCCCACCTGGGGCTCTGGAAGATGTGCACCAAGCGACTGTGGCAGGCCGACGTGCCCGCGGGCAGAGACACCTGCGGCCCCGCAGAGCTGCCTGGAGGTGAGAGGCCACGCCCCCAGTCCGGGGATTGTACCCCAAGGTAGCGAGAGTAGTCGGGGGCAGCGGAACCCATACCCCAGAGGGAGCCTGAGCCCCAAGAAGGAAACTTGCACCCTCAGAACCGGCCCATACCCGCACCAACCTGTGCTCCTTGGAATAACCTTTGCCCCAGACGTGAACTGGGGGAAGGGGGCGAGTAGGGGAGAGGGGAGAGGGAGAAGAGAGAAAGACTGTACTTCAGACTAGCCTGTAACTGACCTTCTTGTACCCACCCACCCCCGAAGCAGCCTGTCCCAGTTATATCCTGTGCCCCAACCTGCCTACCCCCAGACTAGGCTGTACCCTAAAACCAGTTCATACACTTAGACCAGCCTACCGCCAACCAGCCTGTACCCCCAGACCAGCCTGTACTCTCAGACCAGCCTGTACCCCCAGACCAGCCTGTACCCCCGGACCAGCCTGTAGCCCTGGACCAGCCTGTAGCCCTGGACCAGCCTGTACCCTCAGACCAGCCTGTAGCCCTAGACCAGCCTGT